AATAGAACCGTTTAACAGAAAGCTGTTTTGAGGTGAGCATCTACAGCAGGGCTGTATCTCTGACCTCAACTAGAGCACAATTACGATTCTTTAGGAACCGAATCAGCGTGTCATGGAATATCAAGCAGCACCACATTTCAGTGATCACCAGATCCAGGATGTGACCTAGCTTGTGGGTAGAGCCGCCCACGTGATGCTTCAAGTCAAACGTCTCTAGACGTCTAATGAATTCTAATGCATTACTGTCTAATGGATTATCAATATGACAGTTAAAGTCCCCAGAGAGAAGAGTCTTAGAGTTTGTGGACATGCCTGATAACAGTTCTGTCAAAAATGTACTATTGTGCTTTGGAGGTCTTTATATTACAATTAGTAACATAGAAGTATCACTAAAAAGGCTGATTGCAACATATTTCAAAGACATAAATTCACCAATTGAGGTGTTTTTGCAGTTAAAGTCACTATTATAAACGCAGGCCACTCCTCCTCCTCGTCTGCCCATCTTACTGTATGCATAAATCTATAGTTTTCAGGAGCAGCTTCAGGTAAAGTGCCATTGTCATTGAGCCATGTTTCCGTTAGAAACATAAAATCTAGCTTATGCTCTTTAATATGATCTGGAATCAGCAGTGTTTTGTTATTTAGTGACCTTATGTTGTGCAGAGCGAGGTTTAATTTTCTGCTCACTACACTGTGAGTTTGGGAGGGACTAGTTTAGGGGGGACTAGTGTTTTAAAATCATATAAATTAGAAAAGTTTGTATCTCGATGAACGAAGAAAGTACCTGCATAGTGTATCAGAGTTAATATAATCCATATTTGTCGCTGTAGCTCTGTTATAAGGTGAACTAGGACTCTGTTGTCTCTCTGTGTGTGAAATGTAACTCTGTGTTGAGCTGCTAGTGAGCAATGAGGGGTAAGAGGGGAGGGGCAAGAACTCCTGCTGTGAAAAACAATTCACACCCGTCTAAAATCTTCACAAAACACACAATTGCAGCCTTCCTGTACGACTGCCACGATAAAAAACAGCATTTAAACACAATAAAAAACCTCTTTTATAAATGCTGACTTGCATGCTCACCTACAAAGACCACAAATCAAGTTTAGTAAATCATACAAGCTTCCGCTGAAATATATTCCACCATCGTTACTGAGAGGAAAACCGTAAAGTGCAAAAACGGAGGGACCAAAACAGGCAGAAATGCAGAAAAAGGGGTTAAAGACAGTTTAAGAATCTAATTTTGGCCAAAAAATTAGTGCACACCTCATTATGGTCGAAAAAGAAGAATTTATAGAATATTATTGTAATTGGTAGAATTTGTATTCCAAAACGAATGCAGCTGAATCTCCATCTTCAAACTGATTTTAAAACCAATGCATTACAATGTATTGTTGCATTTTCACGCCTCTATATTGTACAGTGGATCCAAATAAAGTGTTCTCCATATTCCCTCTTTTCCGGTGTCTGTGGTACTGAAGGATGTGGGCGGTGTTACTCTCTGGCAGAACGGAGTGTGTGAAACAGCGGGAGACAATTGGGACGGAGCAACAGACACAGCGAGCAGACGACTACGCCAGCGAACGCGCTGCTGACCCGCTGCCTGCCCCCTGCTGGCCGGACTGGGCCGCTCCCTCCAGCCCACGATCAGCCATCTGTCCCCTAGAGGAGGGGGCCTTCCTCCACAGGAGGAAACGACATCACTGCCTGCCAAGAGCAGACCGGCAGAGCTGCCCGAAAACGGCAGGCGGGTTTATGTGGGGTGAACCAACCCCCCCAGTGTCGGGGGGGTGGGGTGGGGGGGGAGTCAGCGCATATGCAGCATTTTCCTCTAAACTCATGATTTCTTCTGATGCTGTCAGAAAACCGACTTAAACTCACTAATCCACCAGGCATGCCCATGAAAAACACATGTCAGGATGATGTTCAGTGTAATTTTTGGTAATAGCAACTTATATGAAGCTTATTCCAGTGATGAATTAGTATTCATCAAAACAAACAGGTGAAGATTAAGTTCAGAGAATTATCATAATGTAAAGTAATACATAAAAATTAGCTGATTAAAATAATTAATTGTGATTAATCACATTAGTTTCTGTGGTTAATCTCAATTATTCATCTTTTGTTCTGTTTTTTTTTCCACTTTTAATAATCGAGTGAATGCACTGACCATGAAAATCTAGATTTCCACAGAGTCAGAAAGAGTAACAGTGTCTACATGTTCAAACAATGAGTGCATATATGGTATATATCAAATATATCATATATACAGTCAGTGAGTTTATATCATATATAACATATACACGGTCAGTGAGTGTAAAAATCATATACATCATATAATGAGTGAATATATCATATATATCAGTCAATGAGTGTATTTATCATATATAACATACACGGTCAGTGAGTGTATAAATCATATGAATTATACATACAGTCAATGAGTGTATATATCATATGTATCATATATACAGTCAGTGAGTGTAAAAATAATATGTATCATACAATGTGTGTATATCATATATGTCATATAGTATACAGTCAATGAGTGTATCATATATATCATATATATACAGTCAGTGTCTATATCATGTATACATACAATGTGTGTATTTATCATATATATCATATATACAGACAATGAGTGTCTATATCATATATACAGTCAGTGATATAGTGATATATATATATATATATATATATATATATATATATATATATATATATATATATATATAAAAATAATCATATACTACTGCAGCTGGGCTTCAGCCTGTAATACTGACTTTGACACTCTGAAAAATACATGTAAACACATATATACAAAAATATTTATGTAAACACATTTTCTTTCCATTTAGTCTGTTATTTTCACTGATTTGGTTTCATACATTAACCCAAACCAACAAACACAGAAAAGATCTTAAACTATATTTAACACAATTCTATAACTGAAGTGATGTTAAATTGTATTTCAATTCCTTTGCATATTTGAGCACTGCCTAGCGCTTCAAATGAAGTGTTCTAACTGCAGAAATGTGTTTCACAGTGATAAACACCCATAAACCTCGGTAAGCATACGCTGATTAAACAGCCTGCCTACTCTAATAAGCAGATGAGTCATGAGTGTGTTTGTGCTGCTGTTAAAGTTTGATGCACTGCCACATTAACCTGAATTTTAGAAGAAAATGTGAGATGATTCCTTCAGGAGCGTTAATACATGTAAATACATCACCAGCTGCACGCCTAGGGGGCGCTACTGTGAGCACTTCTGCTTTCAGGAAGGGTCGAGCAGTGAGCTACGCTAAGTGATGTCTAAAACAATTCACATCTTTATTCAAATATGTGCTAGGAGGAAAGAAACAGAAGCAAAGCCTGCCCAGTCATAATCCGGACCCCTGGGGTGAACTTGCAGGCACATATCACTGAAAATGAGCATCTGCTCAAGTGAAAAAACAGCAAGTGAACTTCTGTCAAAACACTGAAGGCGAGTGCCCTAAGAGCGGAGCGGAGAAGGCGCTAGAAAAGCTGGTTAACAGCTCAGAGGGCAAACTTCATAAATAAACAAAGCGCTCAAAACAGGAGCAAAACACAATAAACAAACCCGGCGTCAGACGAAACAAGGCAGGCGATCAGACAAAAACAACTGAATTATGAAGCAATGCTGAAAAACAGAACAGACTGAAATGTTTCTCCGTTTCGGCCCCCAAAGAGTATCAAGTCTTACTGAGTTGAGGATCAGAGGCAGTACAGTAGAGCTGGAGGTCGGGTGGTGTCGAATCTTCTCCCACAGCGTCGCCACATATTTATGACAGTCTGTTTTACAAGCAGTGATACAGACATTCGCAGAAAGTACGGCTCAACCCGTCCTCAGACCAACACGCGCACAGACGAGGGTGATGAAAGTGGATGAATGAAGAATTAAAGCTGTTTACATTACTTTTATTTATTTATTTAAAAGACTTAACCAGGGACTGGGGCTGCAAATTAGCTTAAGCTGGATGCTCTATATACACGCATATATACATAGATATATATATACAGACACACACACCGATCAGGCAAAACATTCTGACCACCTCCTTGTTTCTACGCTCATTGTCCATTTTATCAGCTCCACTTACTATATAGGTGCACTTTGCAGTTCTACAGTTACAGACTGGAGTTTTTAAACACCTCAGTGTCAGCGTCTTGTGACCAATGATGAAGGACTAGAGGATGACCAACACAAACTGTGCAGCAGCAGATGAGCTATCGTCTCTGACTTTACATCTACAAGGTGGACTGACAAGGTAGGAGTGTCTAATAGAGTGGACAGTGAGTGGACACAGTGTTTAAATACTCCAGCAGCACTGCTGTGTCTGATCCACTCAGACCAGCGCAACACACACTAACACACCACCACCACGTCAGTGTTACTGCAGTGCTGAGAATGATCCACCACCCAAATAGTACCTGCTCTGTGAGGGTCCAAAGGGGTCCTGACCACTGAAGAACAGGGTAAAAGGGGGCTAACAAAGTACCAGAGAAACAGATGGACTACAGTCTGTAACTGTAGAACTACAAAGTGCACCTATATAGTAAGTGGAGCTGATAAAATGGACAATGAGCGTAGAAACAAGGAGGTGGTCATAGTGTTATGCCTGATTGGTGTAAGCTGTACTACTGTAATCCACCTGTAACTGTAAACACATGAACAGTATCTACACTGCAATTGACCACCCATTCTCTCCACCGTTACACGGCTGGAACAAAACATTCAGCTTCCTAGCAGTGACGTTAACTATCCACCTTCCCAAAGCTCCTCCACCTTTGAGATACATCATCAGAAGAGGGTCTTCCTGCTCTTTAAAGCAGAAAATCTCACTCTGGAGACTCCAGCAGGACCACCGTAGGAGGCGCGCAGGCGTGTTTACAACAGATATAGAGATGGTTCCATTTCTCACATTCTTTCGGCTGTATTTTTTAGTTGCCGGGGTGTGAAGCGATATCTCAGGTCTTACCTCGTATTCCTGCGAGAAGCGGAGGCCGTCGTTGGCTTTGAGGCGCTCGATGTGGTCGGCCAGGTCGCAGACGGGGATGGGCGGGTGCTCCCTCATTCCTGGCGGAGGGGAAGAAAAGAGAGAGGAGAAAGAAAGCGCTGAGTGAGACGGAGGATAAAAACGGGCCCGGGTCAGTGTGGAGTCACGGTGATGAGTGAGAAGCTGCTGGAGAAGGACATGAGGATGTGTGCTCAGGTGTAATGTGAGGGAACCGCTGAGGGAAAAAAGGACAAATAGATAAAAAGAGTGAAAAGAAGGCCAAAGAAAAACAGAACGCTAGCACGTACTGGTGCCGTCATGCAGTGGAGGTAGCAGATGTGAGCGGAAGCAGTGGACAGTGGACATACACAGTGATGCCCACACACTGAAGCCAGTTTGCTGGCTGCTGAGGACAGAATCACAGCAGAGCAGAGTTTTTAAGCGATAGTTTGGCCAAAAATCAAACGTACACGGTTTTCCTCCTTACCGCCAATCAGCCAGGACATGTTTGGTGTCGGAGGTTTGCTTCTTGGTTTTAGCACTGAAGCTACAAGGCTAATGATAAGTAGTCTAAAATAACCACACTTGCATCAACCAGTGTTGAGTTATTAATTGTATATTCCACCCATTTTTCAAAAACGTCTAAATAATTAAAGTGGTTAAGATGTAAACAGAGTCGTTCAGAGTGGTTTGGTGTGAAACGCTCCGTTCTAGACAAACGTACCGAGTCAGAACTGTTCACAGTGGTGGTGATAGGAACCAGACGTCCACCTCTAAAAGCTCCCTCACAGAAAGTTACTACTTAAAATGGTTATGAATTCACTGTCTGATGTCTGAGACATTGTTTTATGATAGGTTGAGATGTTTTGTCCTAGAATGTATATTTAAACTCTATTCATGGTGGAGAGGTACATGTAGGCCACTGTGAGGCAAAATAGTCCCCCAAAGTGGATTTCAACATGGATTTCAAGTGGATTTTCAGTGATTTTTTAGTGAATTTCTGGTGATTTTTCTGTGAAGTTCATTGCTGGTGTTTTTTTCTGCAGTCTATGTGATTTTTAAGGGATAAATGTAACTATTTGATGCATCGCATTAAACTTCTAGAGATGGCTTATTTCAAAGTTTGGTGGATTTTTTTGCAGTGGCCAAAAAAAATTAAGTGAATTTCAGTGTCATTCAGAGTGGTTTGGTGTGAAATGCTCTATTCTTACCGAGTCAGAATTGTTCACAGTGGTGGTGATAGGAACCAGACGTCCACCTCTAAAAGCTCCCTCACAGAAAGTTACTACATGAAATGGTTAAGAATTCACTGCCGGATGTCTGAGACACTGTTTTATGATAGTTTTGAGATCTTTAGAGATCCTAGAATGCATGTAGGGCACCATGGTGCAAAATAACACCCCAAAATTTTTTATATTTATTTAGATTTATCACTGTTTTCCATCATCATCATTACATATAAAACTCAGAAGACTCGTGTAGGTTCACTGGTGGTTCTGGATAGTAAATAAAATGTCTATATCTGTGTTGTAGTCATGGCGACCCCTGGTTCCTATCACCACCACTGTAAAGACATCTGAACCATTTCACACCAAACCACTCTGAATCACTCTGATTACATCTTAACCATTAAATTATGCTGATTTTTTAAAAAATAAGTGGAATGTCTATTTAAGATGGCTCCATTATGGCTACGCTAATGTGTTTTGTTTATAGATACGTGTGTCATAACCTACGAACAGCTCATCCAGCTTGCACTGAAGTCCCTGTAGTTACTGAATAATAAGCCTGAGTATGTTAATAGACTGGGATTTTAAGGGTTTAAGCTTTTATTACTAGTTAGCTATATTAGCTCTAGTGCTAAAACTAAAGAAGCAAACTTCAGACACCAAACATGACGGATTGGATTTGAGGTAAGGGGGAAAACGGAGTAAACATTATTCGCCAAGCTACAGCTTTAAACAAATTTCCCCCAACACATCACTAAAAGCTCATAGCTCTTACGCTCTGCGTCTCCAAACGAAACTCGTTAGACTTACTCAGACCCTAAAAACACTCCATTTCGCTCTACTTTCCTCGTCGGTGGTTATTATATGATTTATGGCTAATCTACCAAAGCAAATTCCCTGCGCTTCTGAACTTGGCAAGGCCACACTCTTAACTGGATTTGGGAAGATTCAGAGTTTGCGTCATTTTGTCAGGGAGGAAAGGAGGATGTTTAGGTAGAAGAAGAGGAAGCCTACATTTAATGAGGGGCTGGCAGAGCTACAGTGCATAAAACAAGTATTAGGATCACAGTGGTTGGACTGGAGAGGCTCATTAGACACAATTGGGTAGTGTAATGGGACATGCTCTATGATCACCTACTACAAGCTCTTTATAGCTACAGCAAGAAGCACTAAAGTATGGCTAAAACAGCCAGAGAGTCAGTAGCCCAGCATTTTAGCCTTAACTTGATTACATTATAACTATTGTTATACATAATACATGTAATGAACTGTATTTACATTTGATTTACACTCTGTATCAACATGTTTGAGCCTGTTGAAAACGTAAAGGCTAAATAAGGCTGTATACACAATACCTGTTCATCAAATTCAGATCATAATAAAATATCTCCTTTTCAACTGACAAACACAAAAGTGGGATGGACTGAAAGTTTAGAATCTGCACTTTCCACACAATTTCTCTGCTCGTTTCTATGAGCTACGAGTCAGAAACAATTCAAATAAAGTTACAGCATGCTTTTGTTATCGCTGGTAGTTCTAAGAGTTAATCCACTCCACTGACGAAAGGCCAAAAGCCCTGATTCTCTATGCTGCTGTATGAATGTGGGAGGAGTATAGGCACATTTCACGCCATAGTGTAGCTCCTATACATCAGCCTATACATCCATCAGACATCAGACATCATACGCTCCAAGAATTAAAGGCACACTTCCACCATTTTTCATCCTAATCTCTGTTTTGCATCATTAACATATGGGTCAATAACCACAGATAATAATTTTAACATGTTTCTCTGAGCTTAGAAAAGAACGCAAAACCTATTTATTCACAATTCTTACTGATTTTCTGAGTCAAAATAAGGTGACACTCTACAGGGAACAAAATTCTGCAAATCTTAGTGCACTGATACTGTTTATTTGTTAAGTGTGAGATATTGGAAAAAAAAAATTTGCTATATTTTATGCTCATTTTCATTTTCAATATGCTAAATTCAGCAAAACAACAGTAACTGTGCATTGAAATGTGCATTAAAACTTAGAAAATCAACAAAATATTGGAAATATAAAATACCAAATACTATATTCCGTTGCTGTTGTTCTGGCTGCTTCCTCAGTGACTGTGATGCTCATATATGCTAGGCTATCTGCTAATATTCCATAGTATGTCACATCCTGCTTTGCACAGTTTACATATGCTCAGTACTGTGTACTGCCTGTGTACCATGTACTGTCTTTTGTGTTTATTGCACTGTATTGTCTGCACTGTGTACACAGTATTGTTCTGCGCTTGTGTTCCTGTGCTGGTCCTGGAGGCATGTTCCGTTTCACTGTGTACTGTATACAGCTGAAACACAATAAAGCCTCTTAACTTGAAAATGTAATTTCACCAAACTTTTGCACGAGTGTGCGATAGAGCCTGTGAAAACCCCGCCCACACTTCTACACTGCTAATGAATTATCACAAATACTTTGCTCTGGAGAACCAGGCCCATCTCTGAAAGAGCTAACGGTACAGATTTACAGCGTATGAATGCATACGTTCTACCAAAAAATGTTTTGCTTAAAAATTCTGACAGAATTCAGTGACTGCCCATTGGCTTCTGTTACAAGAGAGTCTATTTGTTTTCAGTTCGTTTCAAAGCAAATTTATACCTCCACATATAAATTCACAATTTGTACATCTTATATATTGTATATAAATATAAATAAATTGTATGTAAATATATATACATATATATATATATATATATATATATATATACACACACACACACACACACACACACACACATTTTCTATCCTCTAGGTACCCTGCATCTCATTTATCTACCTCAGTCTCACAAATTGCATATATGGAAATGTGTACAACTGACAACTGTACATATCATAGCTTTTATTTCATAACTTACATTAATGTATAAAAACTGTACATTAGAATGGTGCATATATACTAATGTGTATATTGTGTATATATTTAGAGTCTAATAAGTGTGTATATATATATATATATATATATATATATATATAATATATATATATGCACACACACACTTATATATATATCTCCATTTTTGATGTTCAGTTTTTGACATAATTTAAAAATACTTGTATACATTGCATGTAAATTTCATTATAAATGGACTAAAAGAAATGACCCAAAATTACTTGGAAAAAAGTCTATATATATATACATATACATATAGTATATTTAAATACTACTAGGGGGCTATGCGGCTAAGATTTTCACTCACCTTTGCACCTGTGTAATTGTGATGTGGCAATAACTGGGATTTGATTTGACTGATTGATTTGATTTGATTCTGAAGCCAAATGTGTTGAAATTATTATCTGTGATATTCAACCATACGACAGATGTAGGCAGAGATGGAAAACACTGCAGAATCCCTTAAAGAGGTCTATGACATCTAAACCTGGCGGATGTTCCTGCCAGGCAGGGGTGAGGTAAAGCAGAGGCAGAGCAGCAGCGGTGACAGATTTCATGGCTAAAAGACAGGAAGCAGCTAGATAGATGGAAAAATAGACAGACAGACAGACAGAGAACAAGCTGAGAACAAGCTAACACTGAATATACAGAAACACAGCAGGAATGCCAACTAACTTGGAGAGTTCGGACAGCAGGAGGAGCTGGGACCTGCAGAGAGAAGATGGAGGGAGGAATAGAAGAATAAAAGAAGAATGAAAGCGCTATCAATTCATCCCCGCCTCTAACGCTGCTTTAAACGGCCTATAGATGTGCTCGGTTTACCAATCAGCTGGAGTTCAGAGACGTACTTCGTGCTTCTTTAAAGGGGAATTCCACCATATTTTTCAAAATTTCTGCATGATTCAGTC